GAAAGAAACAAAAAGAGAGAAGAAAGAAAGATAGAAAAGAAAGAAAGAAAGAAAAGAGAGAAGAAAAGAAAGCAAAAGAAAGAAAGAAAAAAAAAAAAGAAGAAAAAAAGATAGCAAAAGAAAGAAAGTATAAAAGAAAGAAGAAGAAAGATAGCAAAAAGAAAGAAAGAAAGTATAAAAGAGAGAAGAAAAAAAGATAGCAAAAGAAAGAAAAGAAAGTATAAAAGAGGAAGAAAAAGATAGCAAAAGAAAGAAAGAAAGATAAAATTGAAAAAAAAAGAAAAAAGAAAGAAAGAAAGTAAAAAAAGAAGAAGAAAAAGATAGCAAAAGAAAGAAAGAAAAGATAAAAGGAGAAGAAAAAAGATAGCAAAAGAAAGAAAGAAAGTATAAAAGGGAGAAAAAAAATAGAAAAGAAAGATAGAAAGTAAAAAGGGAGAAGAAAAAGAAAGAAAAAAGAAAAGAAAGAAAGTAAAAGAAGAAAAAAAGAAGCAAAAAAAGAAAGAAAGAAAGTATAAAAGGAGAAGAAAAAGATAGCAAAAGAAAGAAAAAAAAGTAAGAAAGAAAGAAGAAAAAGATAGCAAAAAGAAAGAAAAGAAAGTAAAAAGGAGAAGAAAAAAGATAGCAAAAAAAGAAAGAAAGTATAAAAGAGAGAAGAAAAAGATAGTAAAAGAAAGAAAGAACGTATAAAAGGGAGAAGAAAAAAGATAGCAAAAGAAAGAAAGAAAGGGAGAAGAAAAGAAGAAAAAAGAAAAAGAAAGAAAAGAAGAAAAGAGAGAAGAAAGAAAGATAGTAAAAGAAAGAAAAGAAAGTAAGAAAAGGAGAAGGGAGAAAAAAGATAGCAAAAGAAAGAACGTAAAAAAGAGAGAAGAAGAAAGATAGTAAAAAAAAGAAAGAAAGATAAAAGGGAGAAGAAAAAGATAGCAAAAAGAAAGAAAGTAAAAAGAGAGAAGAAGAAAGATAGTAAAAGAAAGAAAAGAAAGATAGAAAAAGGGAGAAGAAAAAAGATAGCAAAAGAAAGAAAGAAAGTATAAAAGAGAGAAGAAAAAGATAGCAAAAGAAAGAAAGAAAGTATAAAAGGAGAAGAAAAAAGATAGCAAAAGAAAGAAAGAAAGTAAAAAAGGAAAGAAAAGAAAGAAAAGAAAGAAAAAAAAAGAAAGAAAGATAAAGAAAGAAAGAAGAAGAAAGATAGAAAAAGAAAGAAAAGAAAGAAAGAAAAGGAGAAGAAAAAAGATAGCAAAAAAAAAAAGAAAGTATAAAAGGGAGAAGAAAAAAAAAGATAGCAAAAAAGAAAGAAAGAATAAAAAAGAGAAGAAAAGAAGAAAAGAAAAAGAAAGCAAAAAAGAAAAAGAAAAAGATAGCAAAAGAAAGAGAGAAAGAAAAAGATAGAAGAAGAAAGATAAAAAAGAAGAAAGAAAAGTAAAAAAGAGAGAAGAAAAAAGATAGCAAAAGAAAGAAAGAAAGTATAAAAGGGAGAAGAAAAAAGATAGCAAAAGAAAGAACGTATAAAAGAGAGAAGAAGAAAGATAGCAAAAGAAAGAAAGAAAGTATAAAAGAGAGAAGAAGAAAGATAGCAAAAGAAAGAAAGAAAGTATAAAAGAGAGAAGAAAAAAGATAGCAAAAGAAAGAAAGAAAGTATAAAAGGGAGAAGAAAAAAGATAGCAAAAGAAAGAAAGTATAAAAGAAAGAAGAAGAAAGATAGCAAAAGAAAGAAAGAAAGTATAAAAGAGAGAAGAAGAAAGATAGCAAAAGAAAGAAAGAAAGTATAAAAGGGAGAAGAAAAAAGATAGCAAAAGAAAGAAAGAAAGTATAAAAGGGAGAAGAAAAAGATAGCAAAAGAAAGAAAGAAAGTATAAAAGGAGAAGAAAAAGATAGCAAAAGAAAGAAAGAAAGTATAAAAGGGAGAAGAAAAAAGATAGCAAAAGAAAGAAAGAAAGTATAAAAGAGAGAAGAAGAAAGATAGCAAAAGAACGAAAGAACGTATAAAAAGGAGAAGAAAAAAGATAGCAAAAGAAAGAAAGAAAGTATAAAAGAGAGAAGAAGAAAGATAGTAAAAGAAAGAAAGAAAGTATAAAAGGGAGAAGAAAAAAGATAGCAAAAGAAAGAAAGTATAAAAGAGAGAAGAAGAAAGATAGTAAAAGAAAGAAAGAAAGTATAAAAGGGAGAAGAAAAAATATAGCAATAGAAAGAAAGAACGTATAAAAGGGAGAAGAAAAAAGATAGCAAAAAAAAAAGAAAGTATAAAAGGGAGAAGAAAAAAGATAGCAAAAGAAAGAACGTATAAAAGAGAGAAGAAGAAAGATAGTAAAAGAAAGAAAGAAAGTATAAAAGAGAGAAGAAGAAAGATAGCAAAAGAAAGAAAGAAAATATAAAAGGGAGAAGAAAAAAGATAGCAAAAGAAAGAAAGAAAGTATAAAAGGGAGAAGAAAAAAGATAGTAAAAGAAAGAGAGAACCTATAAAAGGGAGAAGAAAAAAGATAGCAAAAGAAAGAACGTATAAAAGAGAGAAGAAAGATAGTAAAAGAAAGAAAGAACTTATAAAAGGGAGAAGAAAAATATAGGAAAATAGAAAGGAAGTATAAAAAAAGAAAAAATAGCTAAAGAAAGAAAGAACGTATAAAAGGAGAAGAAGAAAGATAGGAAAAGAAAGAAAGAACGTATAAAAGGGAGAAGAAAAAAGATAGCAAAAGAAAGAAAGAAAGTATAAAAGGGAGAAGAAAAAAGATAGCAAAAGAAAGAACGTATAAAAGAGAGAAGAAGAAAGATAGCAAAAGAAAGAAAGAAAGTATAAAAGGGAGAAGAAAAAAGATAGCAAAAGAAAGAAAGAAAGTATAAAAGGGAGAAGAAAAAAGATAGTAAAAGAAAGAGAGAACCTATAAAAGGGAGAAGAAAAAAGATAGCAAAAGAAAGAACGTATAAAAGAGAGAAGAAGAAAGATAGTAAAAGAAAGAAAGAACTTATAAAAGGGAGAAGAAAAATATAGGAAAATAGAAAGGAAGTATAAAAAAAGAAAAAATAGCAAAAGAAAGAAAGAACGTATAAAAGGAGAAGAAGAAAGTTAGGAAAAGAAAGAAAGAACGTATAAAAGGGAGAAGAAAAAAGATAGCAAAAGAAAGAACGTATAAAAGAGAGAAGAAGAAAGATAGTAAAAGAAAGAAAGAAAGTATAAAAGGGAGAAGAAAAAAGATAGCAAAAGAAAGAACGTATAAAAGAGAGAAGAAGAAAGATAGTAAAAGAAAGAAAGAAAGTATAAAAGGGAGAAGAAAAAAGATAGCAAAAGAAAGAACGTATAAAAGAGAGAAGAAGAAAGATAGCAAAAGAAAGAAAGAAAGTATAAAAGAGAGAAGAAAAAGATAGCAAAAAGAAAGAAAGAAAGTATAAAAGGAGAAGAAAAAGATAGCAAAAGAAAGAACGTATAAAAAGAGAGAAGAAGAAAGATAGCAAAAGAAAGAAAAGAAAGTATAAAAGGGAGAAGAAAAAAGATAGCAAAAGAAAGAAAGGAAAAAGATAGCAAAAGAAAGAAAGGAAGTATAAAAGAGAGAAGAAAATACTATTGCAAAAGAAAGAGAAAAATATAAAAGTGTTATATAGGAATAATGTGCCGTTGCCTGTACTTGAGTTTGTACATAGATCTTCAGTGAGCAAACACAGGCGATTCTATTATTGAATTAAGTAGACCCCGTGGCCATAGAGGAAACGCATATATGCAGGAAGTAGTTAACGACTAACGATCGTTAGTTCTAGTCTATCCTCTATACTATATGTATCGTCATTTCTAGTCTATCCTCTATTACTATTCGGAGGGCTATTCTCTACTCTATTCACTAAACTATTTCTCTATTCGGATCACTATTAGGTGGTTACTATTCGATCGAGTATTATCGAGCAAGTACTATTAGTGCGAGTGATATTCGAAGTCGCCTGACACCAGTATTGTTCAACGGTTGTGACTGCGATTACAAAGTCTCTACTACAACGAGCATCACAAAACTGGCAACAAGTGTTCGTTGACATCACAAAAAAAAAAAAAGAAGGAAAAAAATAGCAAAAGAAAGAAAGAATGTATTTGTGATTCTATTTTGCAAAATAATCCGGATAATTCGAAATTAAAAAAAAATAGTGTTCTCTGTCTTTCTCTCTATTTTTTTTTCTGTGCCCCGTCCCTTCAAGACGTGGGCGATCACATCTCTCCACAGTTTCCTTTCTTTTAATTTTTTTTCACTAACACTTGCAAGAGCCACTCATGGTAGAGGGTTACTGAATAAGGTGTTTGTGTGAATGTAAGATTAGCAGGGAAGAAATGCTGATTATAATGATATGTGGAAAAGAATACGGTTGCATTTAGAATTGGACTGGTTGAGATTATAGCGAACTAGGAATCATCTCCTCGGGAGTCTGTGTCACAATATGGCGGTTGAGAAAAGGCTATCTGAATAAAACTTTCTTCTTACTAACAGAATACAAAGTGAATAGGTCGGGGTGATTCATTCCAGCGTATATGCTATGGCAAGTTTTAGTTGTAAATGTCTGAACTGATAGAACTATTGAACGTAACTCGTCGGAACATTTGCCATGGAAATAGCGATAGAGCAGTGATAGGCTTGAGACGTTTTATCCCTGGAAAAGGGGTTGCACCAGGGAAAATAATTTATCATCTACAAAGTTGTGTAGACCGTTCTGTTACCTTTGATGCGTCCTTCGAGTGTTAAATACTTTTGTAAGGTGTTCTCAAATGCAACTATTTCTGATTGCTTACAGGAGTTTCTTTGTAAAGACTGTTCCCCATAAAACATTTTTTTTATTTGTCATGAGCTCTGTCTCAACCTTTGTCAGGAAAAAACATTGTCTCAAGCTTTGTTTTGTGTTGTGTGTGTGTGTGTGGGGGGGTCAAAATACTCTAGCACTCTCCCTGGGTATATATGGAGGTTGGTCATTACATAGCGGTCTAGCAGGCTCTCTTGGTTTTTAATGTTTGGAGTACACACGTGAAGAGCGCGTGCAAAATGACACTCTTTTTAAGGGTGGAGTTTGTTGGCACGGGGGAATCAAGGAACGAATTTCAGAATTGCAACGGAGGCCTGCTGACTAGTTTTTGTCGGGTGTCATTTAATATAAAAGAGGAGGCCATCCGTAATCTATTTTCTTTGTCCTCCGCCTTTTCACCTGAAGTTTTGCCCCCGCCTCGGCCTACGCTTGCATTTCTTTTCTTTTTTATTCTCTCCCCCCCCCCCACAATTTACTTAGCCGAGAGGCAGACACCTTTCATCACCGCGTTAAATTTCAGAAATACAAACTCTTACCGTTTTACAGAAACCCTTGCTAGGGACCTCGCTTTACACATTGAACTTTATACATACTGCACAATACACGTTAACTCCAACGTTAATCTCAAAACTGTAATCTTAAACCAAACCCTAATTATAAAACACAATACTAACCTTCACATGGCTACTAAAATCTAACATTTAATACTGATCATAATCCTAACAGTGATTTAATCCTAAATCTGACTGTAATCCCCAAAACCTAACACTAATCATAACTCTAAAACCAAAAAGTAAGTTTTAATCCTAATCCTAACCCTGACACTAAAACCTAACCCTGTTCTCAAATTCTAACTATAAACATAATCCTAATCTCTAAAATCTTACGCTTAAAACTTAACCGTAATTTTTGGCCCTAATTCTAATCTTGACAGTAAAACATAAATTTTAGCTGGACATGAAGACATAATCCTAACTTCAAACTAATCCTAAACAAGACCATAAAACCCCTCCTTATCCTTAATCCTATAACTTAAAAACTAATCCTAATCCTTATCCAGTCACTAAAACGTAACACTAGTTCTGAAACTAAAAATTAACCTTAATCTCAAACCTAACCTTAACCCTAATCCTATAACCTAACTTTAAAACTATAATCCTAACTTTAAAACTTTACCGTACACTCGAACCATAATTCTTAATGTTGTGGTGTCCTCCCTCTGAAGTGTCTATGTTAGACTCTTCCGCCTACTATAAGATTAGTAGGAGAGAAGGCTTTGTGGAACGGTGAATAGATTGACCGCTAATTCATTCGATACGCTCTTACTAGTCGTGTAATACCCTTCTGCTGTACTTACTGTTTAATATACGATATATCTGCAAACCTGGTTTTCGATATTACTTAACCATTTACTTGGCTACAACATTTAGCATAAAACTTATTCCTCAAACCTAAAATGACTTTAGTCCTAATCTTACTTCTAAACCTGACCTTAAAACCAAGAACTTTTAACCCTAAAACCTAACCATAAACTTAACTCTAACCTAAGCACAAACTGGAAGGAGTCATACATGGACACACAGATACACTACAAATATTTTTAACTTGTATATGATAACATCAGGTTATATAAGTATCGTTTGAACTTTTAAGCTACGGAATTATCATTATCACACTCTGATCTGTTCCAACCAGCATCCTCATCTTGGTTGTGATCGTCCCAACATTTTAGCCTTTGTATTCTCCGGTCCTCAAGTGTTTGCTGTAGTTAATGGCCTTCCGAGAATCGAGAAAACCGATCGGCTGGAAATTACCGGAAAGTTATCAACTACAGTTGAGGAAGGCTAGATTGTAGAACGGTCGGAATACTGTGATGAGTATAATAATCCTCACAGATCAATGTCAAATTATGTTAGCTTCTTTATCAGTGTATCCGTCTTGTACGGCTAATAAATGACAGACAACAACGCCTTTCGTAGAAACTGTATGATCTTGGTTTTAACCAAATTCATTGGTGGTACAAAATTTAACTACAGCATGAAAATGGCGAGGCAGGTTAAAAAAATTACTATTGAAAAAGAAAAAAAATGCAGTGGGAATTGTTTTTTTTTCATCAGACGACAGATGATGATTACTTTTAAAATATTTTACCGCGTTTTATTGGTAATTTCGTTTGACTGTTTATGTCTTTAAATTTATCCACGACCTCACTTTGATAAGGATAGATCGGAAAGCTGGTCGCTTAAGAGGACTTAAACGACATTTTTCGACACGCTTTTTGTTCTGTACTTTTTTTTTTATTTAATTTTCTCTTTTTTTGTTCTTTTTTATTTCGTTTTTCGTTTTTTTTGTTTCGTTCTATTTTTTATTTTTCTCTTTCTCTTTTTTTTTTCATTTTAACTTCTTTTTTTTACTTTTTTCTTTGCATTTTCTTTTTCCTCTTTCTTTTGTTTTCATTCCTTTTTTTTGTTTCGTTGCTTTTTTATTTTTTCTTTCTTTTTTTCTTGTTATTGCTTCTTGCGTTCTTTTTCTTTGTTTTTTTTTACCTTTCTTTTTCTTTTTATCTTTCTTTTGTCTGCTTTCGTCCTCTTTATCTTTGTTTACTTCTATAGTTTTATCTTTTTTTTTATTTGTTCCTTTCTTTCATATTTCGTTCTTCTTTTTACCCTTTATTTTCGTTTTGTCTTTTTTCTTACTTCTTATCTTTTTCTTCTTTCATTTTTTTTATTTCATCTATCTCTCTTTTTTTCTTTTCTTTCTTTTTTTCATTCTTCACTTTCTTTCTTCTTTTCTCTGCCTTATCCTTTCTTTCGCATTTTCTTTTCTCTTTTTCGATGGCAACCTTCAATCTTTCTTTCTTTATTTCTGATCTTTTTTCTTCTTTTATTTTTAATGTTCTTCCCGCGTTCGTTCGTTTTTTTCTTTATTTTCGTTGTTTTTCCTTTTTTTTCTTGGTATTTTATCTTTTTTCTTCATCTTTTTTTTTTCACCGATTATTGTTTATTATTTATTTCTTTTTTCACTTTTCAATTTCTTTCTTCATTTTCTATTTCTTTCTTTCTTTCTTTCTTTCTTTCTTTCTTTCTTTCTTTCTTTCTTTTTCGATCGTACCTTTCAGCATGTCTCCATTTATACATACTATATTGATTTAATTCCTTAGTGGATGATAAATTATCAAACATTATTACAGCTTGAATATCATTTATCCGAAATTCACATATCCTAAAACCTCCAAAATCCGAAAATTTTTCAGGTGCTGACATAACTTTTTTCTTCTTTTATTTTTAATGTTCTTCCCTCGTTCGTTCCTTTTTTCTTTATTTTCGTTGTTTTTCCTTTTTTTCTTGGTATTTTATCTTTTTTCTTCATCTTTTTTTTTTATTTCACCGATTATTGTTTGTTATTTATTTCTTTTTTCACTTTTCAATTTCTTTCTTCATTTTCTATTTCTTTCTTTCTTTCTTTCTTTCTTTCTTTCTTTCTTTCTTTTTCGATCGTACCTTTCAGCATGTCTCCATTTATACATACTATATTGATTTAATTCCTTAGTGGATGATAAATTATCAAACATTATTACAGCTTGAATATCATTTATCCGAAATTCACATATCCCTAAAACCTCCAAAATCCGAAAATTTTTCAGGTGCTGACATAACTTTTTTCTTCTTTTATTTTTAATGTTCTTCCCTCGTTCGTTCCTTTTTTCTTTATTTTCGTTGTTTTTCCTTTTTTTTCTTGGTATTTTATCTTTTTTCTTCATCTTTTTTTTTATTTCACCGATTATTGTTTATTATTTATTTCTTTTTTCACTTTTCAATTTCTTTCTTCATTTTCTATTTCTTTCTTTCTTTCTCGATAGTACCTTTCAGCATGTCTCCATTTATACATACTATATTGATTTAATTCCTTAGTGGATGATAAATTATCAAACATTATTACAGCTTGAATATCATTTATCCGAAATTCACAAATCCTAAAACCTCCAAAATCCGAAAATTTTTCAGGTGCTGACATAACTTGCCACAAATGAAATAATTCAGAAATCCCACCTCCATTGGTAGTTTTTTTTTTGTTAGCGATCGTCACAGCAAAACCTTCGTTCGTGGATTATTTCGCAGGCGTTTCGTGCTCAGTAAAGATATTAAAAATGTCAAAAAGTTCTGCATTTGTACATTTTTGCAAATATTGAACATTTTTTTTTTAGATGTAGATGTACAGAAAGTATAAAACATTTCACCACTTAATTATTCGTGTGAGCATTACGTGACAAACATCAATACCCGTATCTGTATGTACGCAAAATTTATTAAATTTTCACTATTTACATTATTCGGACTATTGTCCTCATCTTTGTCGCCATGTTTATCACAACGTTTATGCTGTTGTACGCTCCGACCTTCTTCAAGAGGTTGGAATGTCGAACTGAACCCTTTATTTCGCTCACTGGGGTAGACTGTTCTAGTTCCACGTGCCATGTCTAATGGATGTCAGTTATCTCCTGTTAATACCCCTCTGAAAGTTCTCCACTGCTTTAACCAAGTATTGAACTCACACTCTCTTGGTCCTGTCACTGGATCTAACTAACGCCTTTATCCACTGTACCATGTGTCATTTCATTTCATTTTATTTTATTTTATTTTATTTTATTTTATTATATTATATTATATTATATTATATTATATTATATTATATTATATTATATTATATAGTCCTCAGGCTGTAGAGTGTTATGAAATGTAAAGGGGTATCGTGTTTATGCTTGGGTTCCATTCCCAAAGTGCCCATTTTATAGATGCTATATACAAATCATTTAATTAGTATTCCAAAATTCGAAAAAACCTAAAAACGGAAGCACATCCGGTCCTAAAAAATTTGGATACAATATTCTTAATCTGTATTATTCAGTAAGAGAGTAACACGGGAACAAAGTGGCGCTGGGTGCAAATATACGAAGCCAAATATATGTCAGCCAGTCTGATAAGAGTAGATCAGGCAAATGCATCACAATCAAATATGTGAAATATCGTGACAGGGTTTGACAAAAGCTGCACATTGCCTTAGAGGTAGGACCGATTTGGAAATACCCTTGCGTCGGATAACCGAATTCACTTAGACAGATCTCTGATTGAGGGCGTTCTCAAGTAGCTAGATGTGACTCCAAGATAACCTTGGCTGACTCAATCCTTCAAAATTAAGAAAAACAATCCTCTTGACACGCGGCCATGTTGTTTCCTCACAGCGCCCACTCATGAACAGAGATACAATATGCGCCAAGCGATAGGGCATATGCTCAAATTGTTATATATATAATTCCAGTCGAATCCATTATATTCACTTACGTGCTAATACACTTAGGAAAGGTATTAATCATCTTCTTCTCGCACCAGCTATGGGTAAATAGCAGGACAGAAGAATGGGTTCTATAGCCATGGAGAGCAACTGGTCCAAGAGAAGGACAACTCTGAATTCCAAAAATTCGGAAGGTCGTTTGGGGGCCTTGTGTAACAGGCCTCTGTATTCGGCCGTTCAAAAAGTCTGGTTGGTTCAGCACAAAGCCTTCACCACTCTAATCAAATCATATGTGTTGGTGTTTGGGATGTCGGTTCCTAGGAACTGAGCTGCTTGACCCTCATACTTCGAATATGACGGGAGGGTCCACCATATATATATATATATGTGTGTGTGTGTGTGTGTGTGTGTATACAAATAAAAAGAAAGAATAGACAGATTAAAAATTCGCCGTTCTAAGCATTTACTTTTTTTTTTTAAAAAGTGCTCGATACAACGGAGAGCAAAATATTATAATATTTTTATTATAATATTTTGCTTCGCTACACAAAAATTTCCATGTTTCAGAACTTTAAAATTGTTCATCATCAGGCAATGTTGGATAACTTATGGTGAAAATGATTTATTTCGGAAATCAGAAAAAAATTTGGTAGCTCTTCTGAGAGTTAAAAAGGAGGGCGAAAAGTTTTCCAGTTAGAAATTTTTGTGTAGCGATGTAAAATATTATAATATATATATATATATATATATATATATATATATATATATATATATATATATATATAGGGCAAATATTATTTACAAATTTAAATGCCCATGAAGGAATTGTATCCTGATCAATCAAAATTCGTAAATAATTATATAGGCCACACTACAACATGTTTGACACGCAGACTCACTCTACACATTTCTGACAATATTTGAATATTTAAGTGAGATCGAATTGAACATTCGATCTCACTTAAATATTCATGGAAACCTACCGGACACTATTCGTAAAAATGCTAAAAATAATGGAAGCCTTATTAATAAAAACAAGCAAATCAACACTTAATAATATTAATTTTGAACATGGACATAATATCTTGAGCGTGTTTTGAAAACTGAAAACATTTTATAAAACATGCATACAACAAACTATTTCTTATTTTAACAGTTAAAATCTAATCTTTGAAAATGGCTAAATGTATAGCCGAAAGCGCTCGGATAAAAAGAACATTCGGACAGTTTTTATATAATTTATCATCCGAAAAGAAAAAAAATTATTAGATGGCATGAGAAATTGCATAAAAAACTAAATAAAAACACTTTGTCTGTCGTTTTCAATGAAATGTGCATATATATATATATATATATATATATATATATATAATCTCCCGTCGAATTCGACGTATGAAGGTCAAGCAGATCAGTTCCTTGGAAACCGACAGCCCGACACCAGCACATGAGATTTGATTATAGTGGTGAAGGTTTTGTGCAGGACCATCCACGCTTTTTGAAGGGCCGAATACAGCGACCAGGTGTACTACGCAGGTTTTGAATTCAGAGTTGTCATTCTCCTAGACCAGTTGCCATCCAAAGTTATAGAACCCAGTCTGTCCTGCTATTTACCCATAGCTGGAGGAAGAAGAAGAGGATTCACACCTTTCCCAAGGGTATTAGAACGTATATATATGTATATATATATATATATATATATATATATATATATATATATATATATATATATATATATAGTCCACCCGGTGGAGTAATGGATAGCGGCTTGGATATATATATATATACTCCACGGAGTAGACTATATATCTATATATAATATACTTTTTCTCTTTTTTTACATTGTCTTCTTTGTCTTTTTTTTCTTTCGTTCCATTTTTCTTTCTTATTTTTCTTTTTCCCCTCAACTATGGGTTAATTAGTAAGACTTGTATCATTAAATTATTATTATCTCAAAAACACAATGCTTATAATCTAAAAATATTTTTAAAATTTAAATCTTTTAATTAATTCATTTTGACTTAATTAAAAGATTGGTTGATTCGCTTTTTACGACTTATCAACCCTTTGCAGGTCGAGGATTCCAGCTCTTTCCACTCAGATATGTGTTAAATAGTAATACTTGTATCGCTAGAATTATTAATATCTCTCCTCCCGGCCATCAAAAAAAAAAAAAAAAATTACAATCTAAAAATTTTTCTGGTTTTAAAAAAACTAAAAAGTTGATAAAAAAATTATGTATTGATTGATTGATTCGTAAAAAACGAATCAATCAATCAATACATGATCTGTGTTGCTTATTTACTGCCGTAGATCGACGTCCCGAGTAAGACTTGTGATAAAAAGCATCTACGATTTTGAAGTTTAAAATAATAATAATCCTTAATATTTGTCTCACTTTATCAATCTGAGTCTCTCCACTTTCTCATCTATCTCTCTTTATCCCCGTATCTATCTATCTATCTATCTATCTATCTATCTATCACAGTTTCTTCATATCTATCCAATTATGAATTTCTTCAAATTCATCTATCTGATCTCTCTGCGTGTCAGATTTCTATCTATCTATCTATCTATCTATCTATCTATCTATCTATCTATCTATCACAGTTTGTTCATATCTATCTAATTATGAATTTCTTCAAATCCATCTCTCTGATCTCTCTGCCTGCCAATTATCTATCTATCTATCTATCTATCTATCTATCTATCTATCTATCTATCTATCTATCTCGGTTTGGTTTCTATCTATCTATCATCTATCATCTATCTATCTATCTATCTATCTATCTATCTATCTCGGTCTGGTTTCTATCTATCCTATCTATCTATCTATCTATCACATTTTGTTCATATCTATCTAATTATGAATTTCTTCAAATCGGTCTGGATTCTCTGCTGACAATTATCATTCATCTATCTATCTATCTATCTATCTATCTATCTATCACATTTTGTTCATATCTGGTTTTATGAATTTCTTCAAATCTATCTCTCTGCCTGATTATCTATCTATCTATCTATCTATCTATCTATCTCATCACAGTTTGTTCATATTCATCTAATTATGAATTTCTTCAAATCCATCTCTCTGATCTCTCTGCTGCCAATTATTTATCTATCATTCATTATCTATCATCTATCTATCATCTATCTATCTATCTCGGTCTGGTTTCATTCATCTATCATCTATCTATCTATCTATCTATCTATCACATTTTGTTCATATCTATCTATCTGAATTTCTTCAAATCCATCTCTCTGATCTCTCTGCCTGCCAATTATCTATCTATCTATCTATCTATCTATCTATCTATCTATCTCGGTTTGGTTTCTATCTATCTATCTATCTATCTATCTATCTATCTATCTATCTATCTATCTATCTATCTCGGTCTGGTTTCTATCTATCTATCTATCTATCTATCTATTATCTATCTATCTATCTATCACATTTTGTTCATATCTATCTAATTATGAATTTCTTCAAATCCATCTCTCTGATCTCTCTGCCTGACAATTATCTATCTATCTATCTATCTATCTATCTATCTATCTATCTATCTATCTATCTATCTATCTCGGTCTGGTTTCTATCTATCTATCTATCTATCTATCTATCTATCTATCTATCATCATATCTATCTAATTATGAATTTCTTCAAATATCTCTCTCTCTCTCTGCTTTCAATTCTATCTATTCATTCATCTATCTATTCATCTATCTATCTATCTATCTATCATCACATTTTGTTCATATTCATTCAATTATGAATTTCTTCAAATCCATCTCTCTGATCTCTCTGCCTGACAATTATTCATTCATCTATTCATCTATCTATCTATCTATCTATCACATTTTGTTCATATCATCTATTATGAATTTCTTCAAATCCATCTCTCTGATCTCTCTGCCTGACATTTTGTTATCATTCATTCATCTATCTATCTATCTATCACATTTTGTTCATTCTATCTAATTAAATTTCCAAATCCATCTCTGATCTCTCTGCCTGACAATTATCTATCATCTATCTATCTATCTATCTATCTATCTATCTATCTATCTATCTATGTATGTGTCTGTCTTTCTATCTCTCTCACTTCACTGTATCTGACACGCTCTTTGTTTCTATTTGTCACTCAGTCTCACATTAGCTGTCTATTTTCTGTCTGCATTTCTCCATGATTGTAAGCCTTTCATAGTAGGTCTACCTCACTGTGTTGTGCCTGTCTACCTCGATATCTCTGCATATCTACCTGTCTGTCTCTAAGCCTACCTGTCTCTCTATGTATCTCTCTTTCTCTAGCTGTCTATCTCTCCGCACCTCTCTACCTCTACTTCTCTCGATGCCTTGTACACAGATGAAGACACAAGTCTGTCCGTAGATATTCATAAGTAAGCCTCCTCCTTATTCCTTTATTTCTGTTTCTAAAGCCCGTTACCCACCCACGGGCCCTCCTTCCGTCCAACACCCACGGCAGGTGATTATTTTCTTTGGCCCTCCCCCCCCTCATAAAAACACCTATCACCACCCGTTTTCTTTTGTTTTCTTTTTGATATTTTGTATGTCTGATGCACTGATGGGGATGTCTTTGCACAAGACACCCGGTGCTGCCACCCCGACACCGTTACCACATCGGTTTTGTTTCGTTCCTCTTTTCTTTTCTCTTACCCCAGGTACTCCCACCTGAGCATCACCATCGTCCCGAACAGATAGAACCCCAGTTTACAAGCACTTCATTTGTTACACTCATGACGGCCCACCCGAACTCCTCCGACGGTGATCGCTTTCATTCATTTCATTATCCATTCATTGCGGAATCTTTCTTCAATGGACACCCATCCAGCTTTTGCTTCTCACACTGAGAATAAACATCGGCTTTGTCATCGTAGTTTTTGTAAAGGTCTCTTTTCTTTTTATCCTTCCTTTTCTAGTATTCCCTTCTTTGTCTCTCTGTCTCTATTTTTTTTTTTAACTTTTTTTTCTGATCTTTTGTTTGTTTTCCTCCCACTTTTTTCTTTCCTTCCTTTTTCTTTTCTTTTCCTTTTTTCTTTTATTTCGTGCCTTTTTCTTTTATTACGTTCATTTTTTATTCTCTTTCCGTCCTTTTTCTTTTCTTTCCTTCCTTTTTCCTTTCTTCCGTTCCTTTTTCTTTTCTTTCCTTTTTTCTTTCATTTCGTTCTTTTTCTTTTCTTTCCTTCCTTTTAATTTTCTTTCCATCCTTTTTCTTTCCTTCCTTTTTCTTTTATTTCGTTCCTTTTTCTTTTTTTTCCTTTTTTCTTTCATTTCGTTCTTTGTCTTTTCTTTCCTTCCTTTTTCTTTTATTTCGTTCCTTTTCCTTTTCTTTCCTTTTTCTTTTATTTCGTCCCTTTTACTTTCTTTTCCTTTTTTCTTTTATTTCGTTCCTTTTTCTTTTCTTTCCTTTTTTCTTTTTATTCGTTCCTTTTTCTTTTCTTTCCTTTTTTTTTTTATTTCGTTATTTTCCTTTATTACGTTCCTTTTTATTCTCTTTCCTTCTTTTTCTTTTCTTTCGCTCTTTTTAGCTTTCTTCGTTCCCATTTTCTTTCGTTTTTTGTTATTTTTTCGTTCTTTTTTATTTTATTTCGTTCCTTTTTCTTTTCTTTCTTTCTTTTTCTTTTCTTTCCTTCTTTTTCTTTACTTTCGTTCCGTTTTCTTTTCTTTCGTTTCTTTTTTCTTTTTTCTTTTTTCTTTTATTTTGTTCCTTTTTCTTTTCTTTCCTTTTTTTTATTTCGTTCTTTTCTTTTATTACGTTCCTTTTTATTCTCTTTCCTTCTTTTTAATTTCTTTCGCTCTTTTTAGCTTTCTTCGTTCCCATTTTCTTTCGTTCTTTGTTCCTTTTTCGTTCTTTTTTATTTTATTTCGTTCATTTTTCTTTTCTTTCTTTCTTTTTCTTTTCTTTCCTTCTTTTTCTTTACTTTCGTTCCGTTTTCTTTTCTTTCGTTTCTTTTTTCTTTTCTTTCCTTCTTTTTCTTTTCTTTCGTTCCTTTTTCTTTTAATTCTATTTTTAATCGTTTTCATTTTTTCCATGTCTTCTCATATTTCTTTCTTTGTCACCTTTTTATGAATTCTTTCCATTTTTGTCTTTTCTTTCTTCTCATATTTTCTTCTTTCCCTTTCTTTTCTCTTTCTTTCTTTCCTTCCTATTTATTTTTTATCTTTTTCTATTATTTCTTATATTTTTCTTTCTTTCTTTCTTTCTTTCTTTCTTTCTTTCTTTACACTCACCTTTTCTTTCTTTTTGTTATATTTTTTATTTTTACTTTCTAATTGTATTTGATAGTGGCTATAAGACTTGGCGTCTTTCATTCTTTCTTTCTATCTTCATCTCGTCTTCTTTCTTTCTTCGTGTACATTTTTCATTTCTTTCCTTTTTCTTTTTCATTTCTCCAACATTATTTCTGTTTTCCTTTCTTTCTTCCTTTCTTTCTTTCTAACTTAGTTTCATTTTTTTTTTTTTTTTTTGGTGGGGGTCTATATTTTTTTATTTCTTTCCTGATTTTCTTTTTCGTTTCTCTAACCTTATTTCTTTCTTTCTTTCTTTCTTTCTTTCTTTCTTTCTTTCTTTGTCTATATTTGCTTTGATTTTTTAAAAACTTTTACTTGTCTCCTTTCAATCTTCCATTCATTCTGTGTCTACCTTTTTCTTATTTTTTTCAATGTCCCTTTTTTCTTTCTTTCTTTCTTTCTTTCTTTCTTTATTTAATTGCTATTATTCGTCGATTTTTCCTTTATTTCCATTCATTCTTCATATTTTAATTATTCTGTTTTTTTGTTTGTTTGTTTCTTTCTTTCTTTTACGAGCCCAACATGCATATAAGACAATTTCTAAGGAAGAAATTTATTTTTAGTTTATTAATCAGACATATTTTTTTTTTATCCCTTTGAACGTTTTCTTCTTTGCATACCCATATTTGACTATTTAATTTCGTCTACCGGCCAGAATAATCGAGAAATATTATAAAAGAAAAATACCTATGTATACATATCCCACTAATCCTTGCATGATTGCAGTGTTTTCTTAAATTGGGCAAACGAATTAAGGACTAACCATACTTGAAATATCTTGTCGGCTAACCTATCATGTTGTCGCCGACCGGTGTCCAGTTCCATGTAAGCCACGGTATTGTTTTTCTTGCGCCTCTGTGACGAAGAATTTTGGCGCAGTTAAAGTTTCCGGCATTCTCAAGTGCCCAGTGAGGATCGAACTCACTGCTCAGCATAATGTTCAACTTAGACTAGCTCATTAACTATGACTTCATGCCGAGGGAATTTATATATATTTAGTTAAGATCTTTATAGCTGGGACTCGAAGAGCCAATTATACGAAATTCTAATAGGAGTAGATCGGTTCGCCTATCGTCCGGTTTCCACTCCTCCTGAGTCTTTTGAAAAGATAGTAGTCCTTTATTCCTTGTTTCTTGTTTAGAATTGGGTTTCCGCTTCCTTCTAAAATCTACTTCAACTCTATACTTCTAACGTCTCCTCCCAGGTCTTTTGAACAGGAGTAAAGGTTTATCCCTTGTTCCCTGTTTAGGATTGGGTTTCCGCTTCCGCCTAAAGTCTACTTTAACTCTATACTTCTAACATATCCTCCCCTGTCTTTTGACCAGGAGTAGATGTTCATCCCTTGTTCCCTGTTTAGGATTGGGTTTCCGCTTCCTTCTAAAGTCTACTTCAACTCTATACTTCTAACGTCTCCTCCCCTATCTTTTGAACAGGTGTATAGGTTTATCCCTTGTTCCCTGTTTAGGATTGGGTTTCCGCTTCCTTCTAAAGTCTACTTCAACTCTATACTTCTAACGTCTCCTCCCTGGTCTTTTGAACAGGAGTACAGGTTTATCCCTTGTTCCCTGTTTAAGATTGGGTTTCCACTTCCTTCTAAAGTCTACTTCAACTCTATACTTCTAAAGTCTCCTCCCCGGTTTTTGAACAGGAGTAGCGGTTCATCCCTTGTTCCCTGTTTAGGATTGGGTTTCCGCTTCCTTCTAAAGTCTACTTCAACTCTATACTTAACGTCTCCTCCCCGGTCTTTTGAACAGGAGTAGAAGGTTTATCCTTGTTCCCTGTTTAGGATTGGGTTTCCGCTTCCTTCTAAAGTCTACTTCAACTCTATACTTCTAACGTCTCCTCCCCGGTCTTTTGAACAGGAGTAGAAGGTTTATCCCTTGTTCCCTGTTTAGGATTGTGTTTCCGCTTCCTTCTAAAATCTACTTCAACTCTATACTTCTGACGTCTCCTCCCCGGTCTTTTGAACAGGAGTAGAAGGTTTATCCCTTGTTCCCTGTTTAGGATTGGGTTTCCGCTTCCTTTTAAAGTCTACTTCAACTCTATACTCCTAATATCTAATATAAAATGTTATTCACTACTTAAATGTTAACCTGTTCAAGTGTAGAATTATTCGATATCTTTCCTGCATAGCCCGCCAAATACTTCATTTCTTTCTCTTTCTTATGTTCATACAAAACCACACAGTAACCTTCTGCCTTGAGTGGCAATTGAGCCTTGTATTATGTGAAAATTAATTTTAAAAAATCGAATCACCCTCATTTCCTTCTAAAGAAGCTGGAATAAATATTGGATTGATTTTATCACTACATGAAATATCTGATTGCTTCTGTCTTGATTATTCTTTATAATAATAAATTTTTTTTTTTATAACTACACTGCAAGCAAGGCAATAAACCACTAAGATGCAGGGGGTTACAGATTATGAAAGAATATAAGAAAAGGAGAAACCCTGTTAAGGAGAGAGCGAGAGAACAATAAAAGAACACTAATTAAGAAATCAGAACATGGCAATTGACATTGCATTTAAATCTCTGAGGTATGGAAAGGTAAAAACCAGACATTCCCCTATTGAGCTGTTAGAACCAGATCAGAGGGGAGATCAGGTGCCAAGATTTCATGATCTTGATTTTGATACCATCTATATATAAATTTACAAACGATTTGAGAATTTCATTCCAAGCAAGGCAATAAAGCCACTAAGACGCAAGGCGATTACTGAGTACGAGAGAATATGAGAGAAAAAAGTAACTCTATTAAGGAGAGAGACCTATAAGAATAGAGGAAATAAGAAGACAGACATTGCATTTAAATTTCTGAAGATTAGACTTGACGCCAAAGCAAGAGACCAGAAGAGAATTATACTTGCGACAAAAGTGCATATAGAAGGTTGGTAACATAGAACTTAGACCTCTGGCCATTTCATCTGAAACTGAGAGACCTCCAATCCAGAGAGTGGACCGAAAGACTGCCTACTAAAATGTCATGAAAACAATCTCCAGTAATACAAAAGTCTTTAATGGAATCATTTATTCACCAAAATGCTGTCACGCATCGAGGTTTTATGAACATCCATCATTTTCATGGCACAAAATGATGCGGCGCCATTTCCTATGTGATGATTTACGAAGCTGCCCTTTGTTGATTCTTGCAAAGGCTCTCCTAACGGCGCCTTTCAAATGATGAGTGTTCTGGTATCGTTCATGTCAAACTCTCTCCTTAATAATGCCCCACAGTGCGTTGAAAGAGAAAATTATATATATATATATATATATATATATATATATATATGAAGAAAATATATACGGAAAAAACAAACAAAAGTCCTTATATACAATTATGCTGTTTTAATTTTAAAATTTATATATACGCTTGTCGAGCATTAATCTCGCTAGACAAGCGTACATATAAATTTTAGTTCAAAATAGAATTCTTTTCATTTTTCATTCAAAATACTCAAAATTTAGGAATACGTTTTTAGAAGAATTTCCCACGTGACGACAACGTGACCATGTTTTAAAACGGATTCGCTGATCTTATAAAACTTTCAGTTATTTGTTTGGATAAGTCTTGTTCTTATGTACATCATCTTTGTCATGTTGTATTGATAATGTTATAATTTATGAATATGTCCTTGGTTTATTAGACCGAAACGTCCGACGTTGACATATTAACATTAAAACAGCATAATTGTATATATGATTTTTGTTTGTTTTTTCGTATATATTTTTCTTCATACTGTCGGATCTATATCCATATATTGCTTACACACACACACACACACACACACACACACACACACACACACACACACATATATATATATATATATATATCTTAGGGGTGACAAGTAGTACTGAAGTACTGGGATTAAATTCATAAAGTCTAAGGAAAGATCATCAGAACAGTTACCATGCAAGTATTTATATAAAACGCACAAGGAAGCTAAGTTACGGCGATGTGAAAGTGGCTGAAACCGAGATGCCAGGTCAGGACTAATAACATTGCAGATTCTTCTTTGGAATTTATTAGGAATCTTTAAATACGTAGCAGGAAAGCCGAACCAGATGTGGCAGCAATATTCAAAGCATGGGCGAAACGTAAATGCATGAAAATTCTTGCGCGGCTCGGAATCATAAAAATCATTTAGTCCCCATGGCTGCATCTAGGATCAAAGAAGTGGCGGCCATTGAACTTAAGGATGTTATGAGTCAAAATAAATTGAAAGATATCATACTTCATTCGCAAACCTACCAAGGAAATCATTGGCATGCAAAAAATATTTGCAGTGAATTCTTGGGTAATATCTTGCGATTCTGTAAAGACTAAAAAACATGTGTCATGTTCTTCTTTTACGGCAGCGAATGTTGGACGATTTCCTCAAAGATGAAGAAGAGACTCGAGGCGACGGAGATGTGGTTCTACAGAAGGATGCTAAGGATATCATGGACCGAGCGTGTGAGTAAAGAGAGGTTGCAAACAAGGAGAAGGCAAATAGTTAACATCAGAAAGATGGAGCTGAATCTTTCAGGGGCACATAATGAGGAAGGAGGGCCATGATAGCCTCCGTCCTGAAAGGACATGGCACATAAAAGGAAAGAAGGTGTGGGTTGAAGTTTTCTGGGACACATAATGAGGAAGGAGGGCCTGGAGAATCTGATACTCACGGGTCGAATAGAGGGAAAGAGAGACAAAGGACAGCAGCGCGTGA